CAGCCATTGGTCCCCTTGAAACAGCCCCCCCCCCAAAGTATGTGAAAAAGCCCCCCTCCAGGCTATCCCCCTAGAACCAATGTTGATGCCCCTCCAACATGCAGAGCACACGTCCGTAGCGCCCCTCGGCAGTTAACCCCTGACCTTTCAGTGACCCCGCTGACCTTTCCGACGTGGGGTGCCGCTCAATCAGACCCGGGATGGAACATGAGAATGTCACGGCCGGATCACAGGCTATTAAACCTGAGCCCCAGGAGGGCTACACATATCTATACAAAACATTGTACAGAAAAACACTTCAAAACATTGCACAAAACATTGTACAGAAAAAATATCATTCTACACAGAACATCCCACAGAAAACTGTGGAGCCATGTAAACACAGACCAGGTTTAGAGGTGTGATCATCGAAAACCCAACAACATTCGATTTACTTGCGACAAAAAGCATTTTGTTCCTCTCAGTAGACTCTTTGAAATGAACTCAATTTCACATGGCTAAATCTAAATCCTAAAGAATTGTACAGGACCCCAACTTTCACCCCATTTCCCCACGAACTACAGCAAGTGTGGTTGGAGCCCAGAAAACCCAAGCAAGTTCTAACTATATGAGCTAACTTTTGCCCCAACTTTCTAAATCCTAAAGGATATGCAGGACCCCTACTTTTACCCCAAAGTCTGCCCCATTCCCCCACAAACTACAGCAAGTGTGTCTGCCCAGCTTGGCTGTTGGGGTCCCATGTCAGAGCTAAGAATACCCAGAACTACTGCAGTTATTGTGATTGTAGCAGAGTCTAGTCCTGGCTGCATGCTAGCTGCTTTAGCCGGATGTTAGTTTGCATGCCGTAATGAAGCCTCCGTAATGCATGGCAACAGCCTGGTTAAGTCTCCGATCTCCGAACCTATGTCCTCGTTCTTAATGTGAAACATGACACCAGGTAAGTCGTTCGTGACATGACATATCGAGTTACGCAGCGCTGTTTGTGATTGGTTGTTGGACAGACGTTGTGTATTATTGGGACAAGGGGCCTCCAGACTTACTATGATTGTTCTGAAATTAACAACCTGGTTACGGTTGTGCAGTTGCATGCAATGCTGTGGTGCACATTCTAACACCTAGCCAGCTTCACACACACAATTGTAGTGACTCTTAGTCAAGTGTGGTCAGACAATGGTATTATTAAACACTGATAAAAGATATTAGTACATAGTATTTGTAAAAGACACCTATTATCAAACCTTGACCTCCCAGTCAAATGCACATTCCTGTTGCAAAAACACCACCTTGCAGTCAAGCAGGGAACTGCAATCTTTCCAACTTCGTTACACAAAAATTTACTATACTGACATACACATTGTACTAGCAACACAAATTGGTACACTGAGGACCCCTGGCAGGCACAGTGGGAACTGCATCGTGTAGTTACTCAGTGCAAAACCCCGAAAAAAAGGTTTTAAGGCATTTTCGTGACTAAAAGTCAACACCACAACCTGAAATGTGCAAACTGGGACGCTGGGATATATATATATATATATAGTAACCATGGTAACCCACTAACCTTTGCCCTTGCTGTTCCATGTGGTGGCGATCCCCCCTCCATGCCGTTCTTTTTTCTTCTCTCTTCTCCCTGCAGGGATTTGGGAATTCCAACTATGCCGGGATGGTGGGCAACCCTCGCAACTTCTGACAGTTCGTGTCGTCATGACAACGGTCTCCGGGGGCAACCATCTCCACGGCGACCATCCCTCGTAGTCCGGCTTGCCTGCAGAAGCAAGACGAAGATTTTTGCTGTGTGCTTGTGGTTTTTGAAGATGACTTTTTCCAATTTTGGCTCCGTTTTTGTCGGTCAGCATGTTTAGCGCTGCCTTGTACATAACGAACGAGCTTTCTTCATTATTATTATTTCATTATTTTTGCTGTATTTGCTTCATTGCGAGAATTCCTTAATTTTAATGCTACTTAATTTTTGTCATCTTCTTTACATATTAATTCATGGTAGTTGATGTATTAGGGTTTTATCTATGATAAGTATGAATCCACTTAACCACATTTATGCTTTTTAACTGTAGTGAGGTATATTCGTAGTGTCCGTTGCTGTGCTTTTACTCATGTATTTTCCTAGTCACTTTACCGTACCACGGCCAGCCCAAACTAAACTCCAGATGTGGTTCCTCTATTTTTTGTACGCAAGAGCAAAGTGCTCCTAGTGTGGGAGACCTGACCCTACCCATGGCTGACGAATGGCACGCTCCACCCTCTAGAAAACGGACCGATCCAAAGACATTACGGGGGGTCGCAAACATTCCACGTCTGCCCCCCTCCCACATTGTCTGATATGCAAATTTATGCTAATGATGGAAATTGACCGGTGGAAACGTAGGTCCTTTCGAACCGAAACGATTTAATGTCAGCGGACCGGGGGAGCATTCTGGGTAATTGCAAAGCACCATGGGAACATAACGGCCTGGAAACTTGAAGCATGATGGGACAGCGTGGGTCAGAGGTCAGGTTTTTCTCCCACAGGGCATTTAGCGGGCAGCAACTAGTGAGATTCATCCACATTCACCGTCTTAGTTTTGTAATATAAGTAGAAGTCGAGGAAAAGACTGTCTTGTATTGGAGGTCTATATTTTGGAACTTTCGAAGTGAAATGCTTTATATTTCACAGTTTGATGTTGTATTCCAAGCTGTGGATGTGTACCTATGTAAATTTTGATGAATTATGATAATATCTGCTATCGAAGCCTATTTGAACATCTATCAGGTCACCGTGTACAGTTGGTATCTGAGGTTGAGAGGAGACAATAGTTGCTAGCTTGTATGTGGAGTGGCTAGAGATAGACAGTACCACAGAGGCCTCAAGTCACCTGGTAGCAGACTCTGTAGGCTGTGTTCTTCCTGACTTAGACCCTGACCACCCCTCCACTCTCATGATAGTTGGTACAACCCAGTCATAAGAAGTCCGCGGCAGACCGCTCAACTTCCACTCAGGGGATGGTAGTGTGTTTGGTGCAACATCAGTCTCCACAGGTGGCATTTTTACACAACAAATCATTAATTTTAACCCTTCCCCCCTTTTTTTGTTGCGAACGTGGCGCGAACCAGCCACACACAAGAGATGTGTTTTGGGAGGTACCAACTGGTGGAGAGGGGACGGGGGGTGTAAACTATGGTGAAGGCGCGAGGCACGTTAGGTGCCGCGTGGTAGGGAAAGTGCAGAAAGGTGCAGAGAGAAAAAAGAGAAAAGGTTACATGAAAGAAAAAATTGATGCAAAAAACGGCCTCAGCTGCTATTTCAGTGTTGTCATACCCCCATCCCTAAATTCTTAATTAAGAACTTAAAAACAAAAGAGAGTAAAAAATTAGTCTACATGGCCTACTTGGTTTTTTCACTGTACTTGTTGCCCCCCTCCCCCATTTAGAATACCTAGCTACGATTTGACCTTCCATTTTTGACCTTCCATCTTGTTCCATAAGAATTTTATGTGATGTCCATAAAAACAAAACAGTGAGTCAGGAGCCGCCCCCCCCGCAAGAAATGGAACGGCCCATCCGACAAGATTTTTGTGCCCAGAAAACGATAACAAACACCTCAGGAACTTGTTTTGTTTGCAAAAAAAGAACACGAAGATAAAATCCAACGACCATGTTTTGTGACCTCTAGATCTCTCTCCGTCCGACCTTTCCTGTCGGGGGGGCGGCTCCTCACACGACCTTCAATGTTGCCTTCTGGGAATTGCGTTGGGCGCTTCCGTACGTCCGAATTCCGAACACGTGTGTCTGTTGCAGTGACGGAAAGTGCTGGGAGGGTTAAAAACTGACTGTTTCTGAGTTAGTTTCTGAAAACCGCACCACGGATTATGCAACGGCAGCCAGACAGACGTACAAGTAAAACGTTAGACGCAGGCCACAGGGAAAACCGATACGTAGTGAGGCTAGACTGTAGAAGGTAGCATCGCAAAAACGATCTACGGTGCAAAGACCAAAGGATGTACCTTCCAGAGGGGAGAGAGAAATTATGAACTATTTTTGACTTGTGCTGAGTTGTTCGACTTAACTTGATCGGATTCTGTATAACCGACTGGAAGAGGCATAAAGTTTATGAGAGTCAGATACTATCTTTTACTAGAGTTCAGGTCTTTTAAAATATCAGCAAGATTCGATTTCTGTACAGAGGAGACAATGGAATTGTGTCATTTGATTCTGATTGGCGTGTCCATAGTTACTGCGTGGTTTAAAATCAGGAGAAACAGTTTTATTATTCCATCTCTAAAAATAAATTGGGCTGAGTTATGTGGTAGTAATGTTAGGTGTTAGTGAGTATAGTCTGTGTTTAGTGTGTGACGTAGTGTGGTAGAAGTTTTCACACAACCACCCTGCCGGTGCCCCTGGCACACAGCAAAAACAGACGGAAACAAAATCCAAACGTTTTTGCTCCGTTATTAAGATATGAAATAAAAACAACCGTTTCTGAAAAATTGTACACGTTATTATGAGTCGTGCTAAGACGAGTTTTAAGTATTTGTATTTGTAGATGTCCCAAGTCGAAATAAAGCTACAGAAAAAAACGAAACTTTTGTCACAGCGTTTCCCTCATTTGAAGAAAGAAAAGTCCACAGGCTGGTTTCTCTGTCTATCTCCTGTGTTGAAAACAGCTCCCCCTAGCTGCAAAACTGTATCACTGCAGCAGCGGGGGATGGTTTTAAACAGTTTGAACTGGTTTTGCTGTCTGGCAGGGGCACACCTGACCCAGATGTAGCACCTGTGCTAGGTGCCCACCTGTGCTAGGTTCTCACCTGTGCTAGGTACTCGCCTAGCCACCTGTGCTAGGTGCTAACCTGTGCAAGGTGTTCACCTGTGCTGGGTACTTACCTGTGCTAGGTGCTAACCTGTGCTACATGTAGGTGCCTACCTGTGCTAGGTGCTCACCTAGCCACCTATGCTAGGTGTTTACCTGTGCTAGGTGTTTACCTAGCTACCTGTGCTAGGTGCTTACTTGGCCAAAATGTAGCAGGGCTTCACCTGTTGCACCTGCAACATGGGCCCACTTGTTACAAAAGGCTACCCTTAGTCACCTGCCAGGTACGAGTCACCTGTGCAGGTGTTGACAGCTGTGTCGGGTGTTCCAGGACAGTTTTGTAAATACTTGCGGTACATCCTTTACTCTGATTCACTATGGCAATAAGTAACAAACAGTAACTGAATGGACTTATCCTCTGAAGACTGAATAAAAACAACCATGTTTGGTGACGTTTCTCTCCGCCTCAGTCATGTGTGTCGGGTTTTAGCCACACTAGTTCTTGTGTCGCTTTTTTGTGACACTTCTGTTGGTTTTTGCCACACTTGAGGGGGTTGAAAATGTAGCTAAGGCCACGGCAAGTAAATTTTATGGATGATATTCTCCGCAGACTCCAAATCTAATGTGATCTAGTGAAAAAAACAAGATTCCCACATTTTCGAATGTTGACATCATAAACCTTGTTACACACAAATTGATACTTATATTAAGTTAACTGCCAAAAATGACTTGCTGTGGCCTAACTGAGCAAAGCACAGATATGAAGTGATGTGTTCGTATCAGTAGAGACAGTAGAAACACATGAATGCATTGGTATGGAGGAGGAGTGCATGTGTTAGTACAGTAGTGGCATGGTTTGTTCTTGGCAAAATTTCATCACGGCAAGGGTCGTTAGAACTTAGAGCGTATTTTTTGGCGACGCCTTTGGGGCGGAGGCATTTGTGTAAGTACTACGATCGCTTTGAAAGAATTTCAAAAATTGCACGAATGCGTTCCCCAGGGAATTGGTTTGGAGGAAACCTTCGGCCATGTGGTTTTTGGATCAAGCAGGTAACTTACACGGGGTGCCCACGTGCCACCCCTCCAGCTGGCTGGCATGACTAATTACTGGACATTTGTCTTCTCCCCACACGATGGACAGAGAGCACAGCTGTCTTTGGCCAAAGACCATATTCAAACAGGTCACAGAGAAATTATCCGTCCTTTTGGAACCCACAAAAGGTAAAAAAAGTCAAAGGAGTAACAACTTCAGACCAGACATAAAATCCAGTCTCTGGTGGAGGATAGAGTGAAGTGGAGGATGGTTTTCAGTTTGGTTCTAGCTGGAACTCGACCAAAGTAAAGTAAGTAAGTATGTCATCATAAAATCTATATTGCTGGGGAAGAACAGCTGATTCCTCCTATACGTGTATTTGGTATATTGCCCCACACCTCCTCCACCCATCCTGTAAATTTCACTACGTGCATGTCTTTATAACATAGGGAAATATGTTTTTCTGATAATTGTAATGTAGATTGCTAGCTCCACCACATGAAATAATATATATCATTCAGTCGTCGCCTTGGCAATGATTTTTATTGCCTCAGCCTTGTTTAAATTGTAAAAAGTCTACAATTCAGCCATTTAGACTGCCACAGACTTTTAACTTGTATGTTTATGTGAATAATAAACCAGTCATCAATCAGGTCAACAATCAATAGTCTATGGCAGCCTAAATGGCTGAATTGTTGACTTCTTACAATTTAAAGGCATGAGGAATATTAAACATGAGTGAAAGATCACACCAGTACATACATGTAGGATTAACGCGTTAATATCAGCGCTGCAGTTAGTGACTTAGCTAACAGGTGGCGCTGCTGACTGGTTCAAAGAACCCGTACATGATGCGGAGATGTCCCATGATAATGCACGAAGGTTTATTTGTCTATTTCATCATAAAGCGGCTAGGTATGAAGCCTGTGAACGATTGAGTGATAGATGCCGTAGGATATAGCCTCTACCAGGCTTCGGGAGGCGGTTGGAAAGAGTAGAAATCGGCCAAATAGAGAGATAACAAGCCGGGGGAGTTTGTCTGCTGGGAGAGAACATTTTGCAGCAGACAAACTCCCCCGGCATGTTATCTCTCTATTTGGCCGATTTCTACTCTTTCCAACCGCCTCCCGAAGCCTGGTAGAGCCTATGTAGGATAATCTCCAAGCAGATCATACGGTGCCAAGGCAGTATACATTACTTAAAGGAGTGTCCTCTGGCAGGTTCTTACTTGTTTAAGATGTGAGTCGAGCCGCATGTTTTGCCGACTAGGGCAAAGACCCGTAAGGGACTGTCCCATTGAAATGTGTGGAAAACATGTAAGAAGGAAGGTGTGAAAAGTCACGTGCCTGAGTGAAACCGCATCAAAAGCACACATTCATAGGGTCACTCGGCCTCTGAACTGTCCATTTTGTTGATATAAAAAAAATCCTATACTGCTAAAAACATCTAAACCCTAGCACAAACTTTCAGAAGTGACCTCTGACCTCTATCACCAGCTGATGATAGCATGGAAACTCAGGACTTCTTTTCTGGCCTGGACACACCAAACATGGCACAAACTTCTTTTTTTTTTACATCATCAAATGCAAATAACCCTTACCTATAACATCCAGCTCCAAAAAAGCAACAGATCCCAACATTAAGACATTTTACACTGTTTTTGTACATGAGGTATATAATCCTGGCATTTGCCCACTAGCCATTCTCTATCTACAACGGATGATTTGATTGGCTGAATATAACGGCGCCATCTTTGATTCTCTCATTGTCGTCTGCAAGTGAAAAACTAGTGACGCAGCAGTTTCAAAACGTCACTTAGCCTCGAAAATAACAGTTAAAACTGTAGCAACTATAGTGTTATAGCGCTAGAAAGACGTCTAAGCGGATAATACCATCCATGAATCCAAGGTTTCCGTTTGGAAGGGCACCGACGTGCACTTGACCGATGGAAAAACGTCTCGTTATGGAGGGATATGGAAACTTCTGACGGGAGAGAATATTCCGTTTCGCTGGGGCTAACGGGTAAATGTTCTAGCTTAAAAATTCATCTCTACTCCTTTTTTGCTTTGGGATTTTCATGTTCATTTTCTGATACGACTTTATTGCCGTTGTAACTTTGTGGGTAGCAGGCGCAGATTTTAGTCAAGTAAGTCATGCTGCCCCGACGGCTGACTAAGCTATGGGAGAGAGTGAGAGTGAGTGAGAAGTCAAAAGGTATAGACAGACGTGACCCCAGCCAGAAACTACGAAATGATGGATTGTGTTTGGTAGTGGGAAAGTCTTCAAATTTAAGTGAATATCGTTAATTGATTACACTTATAAGTAAAGTTGAAGCTGAGTCATAAAGTCTTTAACGACGTTATGGCGGAAGTGGGCGGGGCGATGTGATCGGTTTATTGAGGGTCTGTATGGGGGGTTACGAATTACGCTAAATTTTCGCCGCCTACGTTAAAGTTTCAGAGCTGATTACGACTTTACGCTTTTTAGTTAGTGTTCTATTACGAATTACGTTGATTTTGGGGGAGGCTGCCTACGGATTACGAAGACTATAAAGGCCTGATTACGCCTTACGAAAAACGGCATGCAGGCCCCTTTTAATATGACCAGCTGCAAATCAAAATTTGCATCTGTGTAAACAACTTGCAATAAGTCAAAGGTTGACGGCCGCAGAGAAGCTGTGAATCCAACACGAAAAAGGAAGGCATCACATGCTGATGGAAGCAGACAACATACACGAGACCTACAATACAGCAAAGGAAGACAGAGACACGGACATTGTCACCCTGGCCGGAAGGAGAGAAGGCCTTTCTGAAGCAGCAAACAAGCAGATGTACCTTGAGCCCTCTCCTGGTACATTGAGAGTACACACCGATTTGACGTGCTCTCCTAGAGACATTTCCAGCTTCGATCAAGTGCAAGGTACCAAGAGTTAAATACCTAGAGAGACAACTGACTCTAAACTGAACCATGCGGAAATGAACACCAAGAGACCACGTCTAGCGATATAGTAGACGTAATACAAGGACAACAACAACAAACAAACAAACAACAACAAGCACGAAGCCTGAGCTGAGAGCAAGGTAAGATTTGTTCGTTCTTTAGTAGGAAAACTTGTCATTCCTAAGGCTACTAGTATGTATTTAACGCCAACATCGCCTGTCTGTTCGGTGGTCTGTAGTTCAGTGTGTCTCCTGATAGGATGAGCGAAAGTTCCTGCAGTTATAAACTATAACCGTGAACTGACTGAGTTCACATGCTGTCGTCTGATTCTGACGTCATGACACGGGGGAGGGGTAGTTTTGGCGCGTTGTCAATGAGCCTATTACAGTTTTGCCCACTGGGCAAAGCACAGGTCACAATCATGCAATACATACACATGCATATACAAACGTCTCGAGTACTTCCTCCCACCCATAATTGTAGGAGGCTGTATTATCGGTTTATATATCGAACTTGTTTATTGCAAATTCATGCCCGAGGGCATACAGACATTGACAAGAAGGATGTGGTGATATAAGACTATTTGCTAACATGAACTTCTACGTGTACGATATACTTATCGAACCTACTATCTATATATCGAAGGCTGTAATGAAGATAAATTGCTCTATTCTATATTTTTCTATCCAACTATTCAAGTATCCAGAGAGAGGAAATTTTGACGTAACAGATAAGACGCCTCTATCGCTATCATACAAAGTACAACCTACTGTAAAATGTACCTTATCTTCTACTTTACGCAAACTACAAAATTGGCGGATTCTTTGCTTTAGAGGAATGCGGCTATGACTATGTCTTCCTGATTCAATTTGCAATGGTTTAACTCAGTTGTGTCGTGGCGGGTTGAACTGACTCTTGGGTCTGATTTCAAACATTAGGCAATTATAATCTGTTAGTATGAAGTACTATAAGGAGCTATTGTGTGAATGTCTGACGTTTTGCAGACACGTAGTTTGGAACATGCTTGACTTTATCTCTAGTTTATGTATTACTTATTAGTTTCGGATGGAAGTGTTCAGGTTAATATTGAGGTCTGTGTAGGAGTGCCTGTAAAACACGGTGCTTTCCTTGCGATTGCAGGAAATGCGTGCTGGACATTCCTGACACACTTACACATATATAACAGTACGGATATGCGAAGTACTGACTTTAGTATGGGCACGCTTGCCTCCAACTTTCCAACCTTTTCCAACGGAAACATTTGTATTCAGGATTCCAACACAGATAGGAGTGTCCATTAGCCACCGGCCGTACTATCTGCTTGGAGATTAGGTTCTGAAGACGTGCGGACCATCCAGAACCGTATTTAGCAAGTCAGTCTCGTCTCTTGAGTTATTCTTATCAAAAAGGCAGTCTGTTTTTGTAAGTACATGAATCAATATAGAACGGTACTTTGTGAATTTAATGTGTTAGTAATAT